GCCTCTTGATCAGATTGGCGAAATGTTATGCACTTTGAACAATCGAACAGTGCTGTCACATTTAGCATATTTCTCGTAATGGTAAAACTCATCTAACAACAGATGTGATTGGTAACCACACCACCCAGTCGTGCATGAATTTGTTTCTAGCCTGTGAGTGATGGTTACGACGCCTTGCAACGTCGCTCGATTTTGGGCGACGTCGTATGTTCGAACAGTGCACGTAGGAGAATGAAAATGGCGCCACGTGAAGTGCACAGTTGTCACATCCACTACGATGTTCGGATTCTTGTCCAGAACTAGATAGGATAGTCTTCGTACACTTAAATAGATACACGCCCTAAAAAGGGGTGGTGTTCTGAGTGGGATGGGCGGAAAGTAAGTTTTGCCCGCTGATCCCGGCCAATGGGAGCAAGGCACGGAAAAAATGTGTGTTTTAGGTGGGAGGTGCAAAATTTGGTTCAGGCCCCCTTGATTTTGACCAATAGGAGCAAGGCACGGAGAAAAAAAAGCTCGAGTTGGGTGTTTTCTCGGTCAATTAGAGTGAGCCACGCTTGCTTGCGGAGCAATCTTACTGGTGTTTGTTTCACCATTTTCAAGGTCCATGATTGGCTGCTGCTCGCGTGAACAGCTTGACTTCCTGAACTGACTGATTGATCGAGAAGTCGTAATAACCACACACATGATCGCGTGTCGAATACTATGCTGATTGAACTGTCGAGACTCGTGACAATCTAGGCAAAAGGGGAAAAAAGGGGGGTGTTCACGATTCGAGAAATTGGGCACCTGACAAGTAATGCTTCGGCAGCACTGTGTAAATTCGAGCTTCTTTAAATGGCTGAAATTTGACTTGTGTGGTTGGCATTTCAACATAGGTGATCGTGAATGAAAGTTTCTGTTGTCACCCCGAACGGTTATATCGCAACCGTTTCGAAATGGCACACAGAAAGAATTCAAACTAAGGCAGTCAAATATATTCTCGACAACTTTTGAATTGTTTTGTCGGCGAATCACAAGCCCACCAAACTACGAAATAATGAGGGAAGCGCAGAAGTGTTCACATTGGGATAACAATAGGAACAAGTGGGGAAGTTAGAAAAACTAGCACTATGAACAAATATAACTTAGCCCTAAACCTAATGCATCTTCGTTTGCATGGCTTTAGCCCAGGAGCAAGCTAGGAGCTAAGGGGAGTTGAGCATCTTTTTATGGAAGCAGAAAAAAAAAAAAAAAAAAGGGATGAAGTATTTGAGAGCGTGATGCACTTATTGTTTCTATCAAGTGTGACCAAGATGAGCCCGCTTATATGGATAATGCTGTAGCAAGTGAGGAAAACAAGAAGGCTTGGGAGGAGCAGGTTGAACCTGAACGGGTGTTGAATCAAGAACATATCACCAAACGACTCAAGGAGGAAAACAAAGAGGCTTTTTCTCATGGGTGAATGCTCAAACCTTGGCCATGAGTAAGATTCTAATACGTTTCATAACCAGCAAGGGGTCATTCGCAACAGTATCAAAATCTGATGAGGATGGAATCCCTGAAACCGAGAAAAATCCAACGAAGGGGAGTGACTGAAAAGGAGTACCGATGAGGAAATAAACATCAAAGATAAAGCATATGACAAGAAAGAGCCAGCTTGTTACCTTTCGTTCTCCACACAACCTGAGAGCATGGCGGAGGTGTAAGTTGTTAATGATAAGCAAGGCTGGCTTGCTTGGTTTTAAGGACACAACAAACAATCATAAATTGGAGAAAAACACATGTACATTATGTTGGAAGTGGACACTGGAATGGCCAAAGTGGTCTCCTCAAGGGCTGCAGGTGTTGTCCTAGGGGGTAATAGGTGCACAGAACCACCAAGACAACACGCTCTCTTAATCCAAATCGTTAGCGAACTGCAGCTATCCCTGCATGGTGAGGTGAGTGTGGAGAACCTCGCAATAGACCTGTAGCTATCCCTGACTTTTGCGACCAGTACCGGGGTCATTGTTAGGCCGACATCTGTCTTAGTCGTCATGGAGGACCCTCCCGTAATTGACGCAAGAGTACGACGGAGCGGACTTGGGGGTGTTGCTCCTAGGAACTCATGCGCATAACCCTTTTTGTGCTAATACGGACGGTGCGTCCGCCTCTCTATAACCTGGGAACAATGAAGGTGACGGCAACAACTTCGTCATCGACGAAGGTACAAGGGTCACGCGCCGAGTGATTCGAGCTGCCAATGTTAGCATCGGCAGAATACAGGCGCAAGTGCTGCAGTCGATGGTCGACATCGCTCTCCCCAATGAAGTAGAGTCAGGCCAACTTTGGTGACCCACTTGTCGGTCGGCCGTGACAGCAACATCGCGCCGACATACGGCTACTTCAAATTCTTGCCGGACAATGTCGTCGTGCCGAAACTACTCAAAGGCCGACATGACATAATCATGTAGACGGAGCCGATTGAGCCGCAGCTGGAGATTGCGGGACTGAAGAAGTTCACCAACGGCGACGTGGAATCGCCAAACGATGCCGACGCTTAGCTCTAGGTGGAACTTCACGCCACCGACCCGCTGACATTCACGGTAATCTTGCAGTGCTGCTCGCTGATGGTATAAGTGGCGTAGAAGCTTTGCCGAATTCGGGTGGACGCTGACTTCCAAGCCTAGCAATTCATCATAAGGATATACAAGGTGACCGACGACCTTACATCGGCCAACTCAAAAGACTTTTGTTGACATGTGGATGGTCGGCGTCGACAAGTCGGTGGTGTCCTATGTCACCCATGTCATCAAAGGCTTCCCCACGGGCTACAACCTGATGCGCCGGACAATGACATTGCCTGGCGTGTGCGCACAGCTCAACGAGGAATCCTTGGCGAGCTTCATCATGTCAGAACTATATTGTAGGCTGCAGTGGGGTAGACAATATGGGGTACAACTCTTTTAGGTTTTCATACTTGTACCCACCTGCTTGCTAGTTCATTCATTCCTCGTTCTTATTCTCACATGGTATTAGAGCAGAATCGTTCCATGTCCCACCGAACGTTCCACCCTGCCCTAACTGATTTTTTTTTTTTTTTAGCTGCCTCTGCAACCGTGACTGCCCCTGCAGCCCGTGGGCGCTGCCTCTGCAGCCGTGCCTGCCCCTGCAGCCCGTGGGCGCTGCTCCTGCAACCGTGCCTGCCTCTGCAGCCCGTGGGAGCTGCCTCTGCAGCCCGCGTGCCGCCCTAAACCCTGCTCGTCGCGACGCCCCTGCGGGACCCGCGCAGCATCCCCCCCCCTGCTCGTCGCGGCGCCCCCTGGGCGCCGTCCCTGCTCGTCGCGGCGCCCCCCGGGGCGTCTCCCCTGCTCGTCGCGGCACCCCCTTGGCGCCGTCCCTGCTTGTCGCGACGCCCCCGGGGCGTCGCCCCTGCTAGTCGCGGCACCCCCTGGGTGCCGTCCCTGCTCGTCGCGACGCCCCCGGGGCGTCGCCCCTGCTCATCGCGGCGCCCCCTGGGCGCCGTTCCTGCTCGTCGCGGCGCCCTCGGGGCGTCGCCCTTGCTCATTGCGGCGCCCCCCTGGGCGCCTTCCCTTCTCGTCGCGGCGCCCCCGGGGCGCCTTTCCTGCTCGTCGCGGCGCCCCCGGGGCGTCGCCCCTGCTCGTCGCGGCGCCCCCTGGGCGCCGTCCCTGCTCATCGCGGCACCCCCGGGGCGTCGCCCCTGCTCGTCGCGGCGCACCCTGCAGCAGCTGCTTCGGAGCCCCGCCCTGCAGTAGCTGTCACGGAGCCCCCTGCCGCCATCGCGGCCCCGCCCTACAGAAGTTGCCGCGGAGCCGCCTCCAGCAGTCGCGGCCCCGCCATGCAGCAGCTACCGCGGAGCCCCCTGCCGCCGTCGCGGCCCCGCCTGTGAGAGTACGACGGCTTATGCCAGCTATGCTTGCTTGCCTAGACTTTATTATGCTATTTCTAGCATGGGTTTATTTTATGCATGCATGAATTGCTTGATTTGCTGTGGACACAGCACCTAGAACATCCCGTAACAGGGGCAACAAATTTGACATTTGATGCCTACCCAAGTGAATGTTGTCACATAATATATGAAGGCTTAAGACAGGAACAATAGCGTTAGGTACCTGAATATAATTGTTTGACTAGCACGTCTAGAAGTAGTGTACGGCACTTTTTAAAAGAGGAACGATAACGGACCGAACCAACGGAAGGTTGAGCTAGAAGGCGGGAACCGGGGGGGAACATTCGAAGAGAAGGAGCGAGGGTAACGATAAGTAATGCAAGTACTTCAGCAAGCGTAGGGTGATTGTCCAGTTGCTTGCTTGTTTGTTTTCTCTCTTAGTAGAGGAGTCATAGGGGGGAGGAGGACAAATAGACACAACGAGCGAAGGATGGGTGCGTTAGGATGGCCCAATACGCCGGGTTCATGGTGCACAAGGAATCTGCGGAATTATGCCCGGTTAGTAGGAAGACAACAGACCTGGCCATCCGTGACCGGTCCTCAGGGGCAGTTTGGATTGGAGATGTCACCATCACTGACCCCATCAGCTCACGTGACCCCAATGCAGTGAAAGGAAGGGGGTGGGCTGCCACGGAAGTAGCCGACAAAAAAAGATCAGATTACTACGGCTCCCTGGCAGCCTACTAGAGACCCTTGTTGAAATCTAGATGGGCTGGTGGTAGTTAGGTATCGGTGTAGTCTTTGTTTCTTTATTTCTTTGATGCCCCACCTTGTGTGCTTGTACTCCCCGAGAGAGAGGCTTGTTCCTATCCTTAGCCTCTGCTCTCGGCCCTTAGGCCCCTGCCCTCGGCCTTCCTAACTATAAAGGGGCCTCCTTGACCTCTTTCCTTTCATTATGTGCGGCAGAATTTTTTTTACGCTCGACGGCGCGGCCTGCGGCCGCGCTATTTGGGGTGGCAAGGGGAATACCAAGCAAGTGATCAATGCAACACCATACACGCAATGGCAACAGCAACATTGGCCTAAGCAATGCTACGTCCTAGGGCAAGCATGGAGGGGGCATCGGCGGATACTACATCTGATCCGCGTCAAGAATAGCAAGGAGCCCCGTCAGCGAGCGATGAAGCTCGTGCGCCACCACTGTGGTTGCGCCGATCAGGTCGACTGCAGTCCCTGCGCGCAAAAACCGCCGCAGACCACGGAGAGTATTCCCAAGCCGTCCAACGCCCGCAACTCCACCCCGCACGGGTGCAGCCATCACGGGTGCCAGGAGCTCGGCAAGCCGATCTGCGGCATCTAGGCACTCGTCCTGAGGGCCGCCATCCAGAGAAACACCCTGGGAAAGAGTCGCGTGCCCATACACCTGAATCAGATGCACAGCCTGCAGACCCTCCGAGAGGCACCACAGTTGCCCCAGAGACGCCTCCGGCACCTCCGCTGAATGACGAGGCCCACCAATGACTGTACCATAGCCCAACAGCCGGAGGAGCACGACCAATAGGCAGGAAGAACGGATACTGCGCTATCACAGTTCCCCCTGCCGCGGTTACAAACTCAATACCCGCCAGAGGAGGAATCCACGGCAGGCGCATGCGATTCCCAGGAGCGGCGGCAAATGCAGCGGGAGCAAAGGGGGGAGGAACATCCAACCGGGGAAGAGGAGTTGTAGACGGAGTGGTCGCAACAGGAAGAGGAGACGCATGTGTTGGGGCACCGCGTGGCGAGTTGCTCCTGCTTGCCTGCCCGTTCCGCTCCTCGCGCACTGCAGCAGACACAACGCGCTGCAAATCAGCCATCGACACCGGCCGATCATACGCCTAGTCCCCACAACGACCGTGCCCTCCCCACCAGCCACCATGGCCACCGCGGGACGCAGCCCAATTTGCGTGGGAACCACGGCGCGAAGGAGAGTCATGGCGCCGCCTTGACCGCTCCCGCTCGTCACGCAAGGGAGGAGGCGGCAGAGCAGCAGCAAATGGTGCACGATCAGGAACAGCCTGGTCGGACGCGAGCGGCACTAGTGTTGCCGTAGTCGGAGGAGCGGGAGCGACAGAGATAGCTACCGGGCCCAGGGCGTCAGTGGTGGCGGACACCACCGGTTGCGGTGCCCTGGCGTAAGCAAAACCACCTACTCGACGCCTACAGGTGAAGCGGCAAGGACGGCAAGCGGCGGACCAACGACAGTCACAGCAGGGGCTAACGCTAGTGGCATAGAGGGGAGCAGCAGGAGCAGCAACAGGCGCAACAAGAACCGCGGGTGCGGGGGAGTGAGGCATTCTAGAGGTTATTGTCACGGGCTTCGGAGTTGGCGGCACAGTGAGCCATTCCGTGCTCCGACTGGGGCTTGGCGAACGCAGCTGACGCGGCGACAGCGTGCGCTGGCGACAGCTCAGGCCCTCCGGCAATCACCATCCCATGGACGTGGAGGTCGCAGAGCGGGGAGACAAGCCGTTAGCGGAGCAGGCGGGGGTCTGGAGAATGGGTATCAAGCAGCGGGGCGCAGGGCTTTAATCGACTTTGAAGAAACTAATGAAGTCGAGGAATGAACAGACCCCACAAACAGGGAGGAACCACTACCCGTAAGCAAGAGTGGAGAATTGGGCGAAGAAGAAGGGGCGAGGGAGACAGCTGAGAGAGGGGAAGCAGGCATAAGGCAGTTAGCCCCGCAAAGACATGGAGCAGTCGGAGGATGGTTCGATGCTGATCGAACAGGCGTAATTCCAACCCTACCATCGGCCACGAGATCGAACCGCGCTCGGCGAGATCGAACCGCCACTACCGAAACCGCGGTGCAACCGGTTCTCGAAAATTCCTGCTATTTTTTGCCAGAGGAGCTGGCAAAGCAAGCGGACAAGTTCGCTGTCATCGCAAAGTGGGATATTTCTGCACTGAGCGACAACCGACATCCATCTCTGTCACGGCGTTTACCTCCAAACCTGTGTCAGCTGTTTTCGCTGGTACTGCTGACCTCGCTACTACACCTTTCGCGAAACCCAGAGTCTGAAGCGGGATGGCGCCTACTGCTTTTTCTCCCGTGCGTGACACTACGCCAAACCTCACCACAACGACTGAACTGGCCACAGGTCAAGGCTTGGCTCAGAGCGTTCCAGCATGGCGAATGGGAACAGTTGTACCACGGCACGGTAGAAGCGGTCAACACCCCTCCACCGCCACGACACCAGCCCGATGTGACTGGAGTCATCAGCCGAGCCGAGGGCCTTGCGAAACGTGGCAGCCTGCGCCGAGCCGTGCTGGCACTGGAGTCAACTCCCATCTGCACACCCAATCCAGATATTCTGGATGACTTCGCCAGAACTACCCGCCCGCTGGGAACGAGACGTTGACCTGGCAGGCGATGCCAACGTTAACTTTGTCCATCACCCACGCCGAATTCGCCAAACCACGCAGCCAGATCTGCTCGTGCATACTCCTCTGAAGTGACAAGGGCCGAGACAGACAGCGGATGGGCAGTCAGGTGAGTGACCAACGCGGACAGAACACGGGAGACAACAGGGCGAGAGGCATGGAGGTAGTCGGACAACGGGTCATGAAACACAGTGAGGGACGACGCAAGAGGCTGTGGAAGGACAGGAGGAGGTGGAACACGAGAGCGAAGAACAAGGTGAAATGGGCCGTCGGTACGGTAACGGGACCAGCAAGACTCTAGGGACACAGCACGACTGAGGGGAGAACAACGAGTCCACTGTGACGAGGAAAGGGACTCGACAGGGGGAACAGGAGGGGACGGTAGGGGACCACGAACAAAACATGCAGGTGCTGAGTCGGGTAGGTCTCTGAGTCGCTGCTGCTCCGCCTCCTCTGGCGACTGCTGCTGCAACACCTGCCCCCGCTTCTGCTCCTGTGGCTCCTCCTGAGCTGTCTCCCGCTGTGGCTGCAACGACACCTGCTGCGGCGGCCGGGACTCCTGCTCTACCCTCTCCTGCTGCGGCTGCAACTTCACCTGCTCCTGCGGGCGGGACTCCTGCTCTACTCTCTACTGTTGTGGCTGCAACTGCTCCTGTTGCCGTGGGAGGTACTCCTGCTCTACTCTCTGTTGCTGTAGCTGCAACTGCACCTGCTGCTGCGGGCGGGATTCCTGATCTACTCTCTCCTACTATGGCTGCAACTGCACCCGCTGCGGCAGTCGTGACTCCTGCTCTACCGTCTCCTGCTGCGGCTGCAACTGCACCTGCTGCTGCGGGCGGGACTCCTGCTCTACTCTCTCCTGACGCTCCGACTGTGAATAGAGCTGGTGCTGCTGCTGCTGCTGCTGTCGTGACTCCTCCTCTACTCTCTCCTGGTGCGGCAGTGACTCCTCCTTTACTCTCTCCTGATGCTCCGACTCAGGTTGCTGCTGCTGCTGCTGCTGTCTTGCCCTCTCAATCGCTCCCGCTCCTCCCTCTCCAACCTGTCTAAACGCTGCACACGGGTCAGAAAACGTATAGTGCACGGCGTAGGCGTCGCAGTGCTCGTGTCTCCGGCTCCAGCACCCCTAGAACCTGAACCTCCACCGACAACACCCCCAGGGAGTCCAGTGACTCCGGCAGGAACACCCCCAGGCTCCGCAGCAATCGGCTGCGGAGGCAAACGAGGAGGGAACTGCGGAACAGACGGGAAGCCAGGGGGTGAGGTGGGGCGAGGCCGCTGAGTCGAGACAACCATGTCCTCCTCAGGAGTGGCCTCCTCTCTCACACCCTCCGCACCCACAAAGCCTGCACCACGGGCTCCAGCAGCCCCAGTACCCTCACCCTCCGCAACTTCCCCTACTGCACCCCTCGACACGACAAGGACTGGACGCTACGGGGGGGACGACTGCGGAGTGATGTGCGACACACCTGACGCGGCAGGATGCGAAGGGGATGGGGCTACCAGGGCGGCTGGGGGGGATCAAGGGTGAGGAACAGCGGGGGGGAAAAGACCTCAGAACCTCGGTGGGGGCGACTCCTGTAGTAACTGACCGACTCGTCGAAAGTGACATCCTGGGAACTAAAGAACTTACAGGTAACCGGGTCGTAGAACTGGCAGCCGAGTGGGAAGCCAAGAAAGACGCAGGCACGGGTGCGCGGAGACAACTTGTTTGCGCTGGGGGTGCGAACGTGGGCCAGGGAACCCCAGACGCGGCAGTCAGCTGCTACACCTGGAGAACCTGTCCAATGGGTGACTGGCGTCACCCGTGGCCGTGCGTCACTAGGCCATAGGTTCAGTTGGTGCGCGGCGTAGCGGACTGCCGGAGGCCATAGAAACTGGGGGGCACCGGCATGGCACATGGAGATCCGGGCAACCTCCATGACCAGGCCGATGCGTCGCTCGGCTACCCCGTTCTGTTGCGGAAAGTCTGGTAGCGTGTAAGACTGGATGATGTCCTGACCCTGACAAAACGTCTCCAGGCGAGTGGAAGAAAACTCACCACCACGGTCCGAGTGCAGGTGGAGCCCACAAAAGGCATGAGCATTACCCCACGCTAGTAGCCACGGCTCGAGGACGGTAGGCACGTCGGCCTTCCGTCGCAAATGTAAAACCGTGGTGCAGTGGGAGTAGTCGTCCACCACAATCAGGAAGTAGCGCTCCTGATGTGGGCCACGGACCTTGGAGGGGCCCCAGACGTCAAAGTGTAGTGTCTGGAAGGGAGTTGTGGTGGGGGGGAACGAGGAGGAATGAGGGGCAGCGCGCTGCCGACCCTCGACGCAAGGAGTGCACGGCGGCGCAGGCGAGCGGGGAAGCGGGGCAAGCGACTCAGGGAGACCTGAGACCAGGCGGTGACGTACCATCCTCCTGAGACGTGGGAACGACAGGTGACCTAGACGGTGGTGCCAAAGGACTGACGGGTGCGTGAGTGACTGACTGTCGCACTACACAGCAGCTACCTGACCCGACCTGACCTGACCTGACCCAGTGTGGTGGGACCCAGTGTCTAGTGAGTATGGACCAGAGCCCGACTCCCTGTGGAAAGTGGCCAGAGGCACTTCAGTGGCACCGACTGTGCAGGAGGCAACATGCTCGTCCAAAGGGAAAGTGGTGACAACTCCGAGGTCGTGGAGGTGAATGACACCCACCAAGTTCCTAGAGAACAAGGGGATGTAGTAGCCTGTGAGAAACGCAGAGGGAGCCGCCGTACACGGGAGAACAGTGGTGCTGTGGGCAACTACAGATCCCACGGAGGGGTCAGCCAAGGCGACAGTGACTGGAGTGTGCAGTGGCGTGAGGTCGGTGCAGTCGCGAACGAAACAGCTGGACGATCCAGAGTCTAGGGTGAAGGAAAGCTGTGCAGTCGGTGAGGTCGCACCCGAGCCAGCGACAAAGGTTGGTACTAGACTAGTAGTAGCTGCAGCTCCCACACTAAGAACCACTGAGGTGCCTGGATTGGAACCACGCGGGCCTGGCCACGCTGCTGCAACTCACGCAGAAGGAAGTAACGAAGCTGGATGTGTTTCGCCTTCCCAACCAGTCGGGGCTCCTCACACAACAGGACAGCAGACCTGTTGTCGGCGAACAAGACTGGGTGAGGGTACGGGTCACTGGTGCGCGCGGTTGCTGCTGTGCGTGCGTGCGACTAACGACGGGGCCGCGGGGCCCGCTAGCGAAGGGGCCTCTGGGCCCACGAACGAAGGGCCGCGGGTCCCGCCAACGAAGGGCCGCGGGGCCCGCTAACAAAAGGCCGCGGGGCCCATTAAGGAACAGCCGCGACGGGTGACGGGCGACGAGTGGCCTGGAGTGGTGGAATTTGACTGAGTGCGGTTCTGGTGCTTGTGAGAGGGGTTCAGTGTGGTCGGATGCAGTTGGGAGCGATGGAGGGAAT